AGCAATCCTCTTGTCTCAGCCGCCCCAGCACTGGGATTACAGGCATCCGCCACCACAGCCAGTCTCGGTTGCTGGCTAGTGTGCCGGGGGTGCAGTACTGGGGATCAAATCCAGGTCCTCGTGCTTGCCTAGGCAGGCACTTAGACAACTGAGCTATCTCTATGGTCCTTAACTATGCATTTTAAATTCTCTTACATGCATGAATGAGATCACTTACTGTGTTGTATCTATGTCCGCATCAGGCTTGGTGCTCAACTGTTCCAGACAGTATATGAAAACCTAAGTCAAAAATACAAAGTTCCAGCAACATGCGCTTTCAGTTATTAATCTATCGGGTCATCAAAAATTATTTTACATAAAGTGCAATTATATACCACATAAGCGTTGAGGTGAGAAAGGAGTTATTAAACATACAGGTATCTCTATGCCACATAAGCTGTGGAAGCATATCCCATCCACAGACACTGCATAAGCAACACACACTAAGAGCATGTACACTCTGACCAGTTCTTAAGTGTGTGGCCAGGTGCAGGGTGCACATCTGTCATCAGGCTGCTCAGGAAACTGTGGGAGGAGGATCGCTTGGTGAGACCCTGTCTCAAAAATAAAATAAAATTAAATTTAAAAATTCAAAAGTAAAAAGAGGTGGAAATATAGCTTAGCAGAAGGATCTGGATTCAATCCCCAATACCATCATAAAAAACAAATTCTTTTGTTTTTTAAAGAGCAAAATATGTATATTGAGAGAAAGAGACATAATTGGGTTGCCCAAAAAATTCTTGAACATTAGAAATAATTTTTTTTATCTACTCAATAACACACTCATCTTTAAAAGTGCCTAGAGGGGCCAGGGAGATGGCTCAGTAGAATAAGTCGCTTGCCCGGCAAATGCAAGGGCCTGAGTTCAATCCCCGGTTCCACCAAAAAAAAAAAAAAAAAAGTGCCTAGAAAGCACTGGTCTTCAAAAGAAAAATTTTAAGTAAAATACAAACAAATACTTATCATTTAACTTACTTTGTGATCTAATGGAAATGCTATGGAAACACAAAAAAGGGAGGTATAATATAAATGAAATATTTGAGCATTGTTAAAATAAGCAGAAATTAGTACTACATTACCTATATTGCCCCACTTACCTGAAGATATTGCATAAAAAGGGAAGGCTAAAAACAGCACATATTTCACACATTTTACAGACGGAAGGAGGCTGAAGCATAAAACTTCAGGCTCTAGACATGCTGCTTTCCGTGTTACCTGCATGATGTTGGTGCTCAGCTGGCAAACCTCCTCCTGCGTTTTAGGCTGCTGAAAGACCTACAGGGAAGAATTTGAATAGAATTTTTGGACTTTACTAATAAAACCAAACATCTTGCTTCTGGAGTTAGAAATACAATGGAGAACTTCTGGGGTCACAGACAGCCTCATGGTGGCCTCCGGCTTGGGAAGACCAGGCTGACGTCAACACTGGGCAGTGCTCCCTGCTGCACACAGTGCTGGCCCCAAGAGCTCGGTCCATGTCATTACACTATGCAAGACCCACAGGCAGAAAGCACACAGAACTCTTGTACAGTGATGACCACAAGGTGGGTCCAAGGAAGGGTTGTGGGGTGATCTGGGGTGAAAACTCACACTGGCTTCTCCAGGTTTGCACTCCAACACACCCTTCAATGACTGCAGTGAGTGCACGATGCACTGCTCAAACTGGCTCGGCTGAAGAAGAGAAAACACCCATTTAAATTCCCAGGCAGGCAGGGCAGGCAGTGGCTGCTGGGAGAGATTTTTAACGTGGACAGGGTCTAGAACACTCAATCTTCCACTTCCAGAAAGGATCACAAATCACCTCACCCATAATCTCTACATTGTAGACCTTTAAATCTGCCATATACCTTGCAGTTAATATTTCAAAAGTGGGGAAATCTTAAGACTAAAAGTATATCTAATTCACTAAAATAGACTCAAATACCACTAATCATTTTCTTTAAAATTCTACTATTCTGAGAGGTAAATGAAAGGATGATAGGGACCCACTATAACAAGCTTGCATTTTAAGTACCACCTCTCAGGAACACGCTGGGATGCACGAGACCTGCCATCTAATGTTCCACATCTCCAACCATGTTCTCCAAATTCAGTGTTACTTGTAACATGGAGGAGGTACAAGATCTTTAAATCAATAGGTCATTATAAGCATTTTCTACTTGAATTAGGCCAGAAAAAAATGAAACCTGAGAACATATCCAACCAACACACTCCAAGCTAAGCCTGGACACCACCAAGCAGCAGACAGGGACCCCTGAGTAACACAAAACTCTCATCAAGCATTTTTCCAGTTAGGAGACAAAACAATGAAAGTCACATCAAAAAAAAAAAAATCTTTTTTAAGAAGTATAGAAATAAAGATGTGGGGGCTGGGGAGATGGCTCAGTGGAGTAAGCGCTTCCCTGGCAAGCGCAAGGACCTGAGTTCAATCCCTGGTTCCGCCAAAAAAAAAAAAAGAAAAGAAATAAAGATGGGGGAGAAAACTAAATAAAGCACCAGGAAAGACATGAAGAACTCAGAGGGCAGTGTGCTGGCGGGGTGGCCAGAGAGGGCCCAGAGCAGAGGCCCAGCCAGCGGCATGAGGGCAGCCGTCCCTCCCCAGAGCACAGGGAGGGTGCAAGCTGCTCAGGACAGTGGCACAGCGCCACCAGGGCAGAGGATGCGGGGGGCACCACAGGGCCCAGGGCGGGGCACAGCCCCGAGGACCGACATCCCCAGGCTCTGCTGCGGGCCCTTCTCTCCTCACCACCACACACATCACAATCTTTAAGGATTTGTTTTGGGGGAAACAACTACTAGAAGAAAGGAAGTGATAGCACATATATCCACCAATACATGTGTGCAGACCCATTCATGTGTACAGAAGGACAGAGATAAGTTTATTTTTTTAAAAAAGGAGCACTGACTTAAGTGCAAGCTGCTCGGGAGGACAGTGGCACAGCACCACCAGGGCAGAGGATGTGGGGGGACATCACTTAATGAAAAGTGAAAATAATGCCTTACTTCACTGTTTTTATATCACTGTATTTTGAAACCACCATAAAGCACCGCAAAGAATATTTAAAAGTTGAAGCACGAACAAGGAGCAGCAGGGGGCACAGGATGAGGATGCTCACTGCGCAGGACACACTTATGGAGCCCACGCGGCTGTTAACGTCCAGTGTGCACAGGGTCCTGCACTCGGTCCAGCCATAACAGAGCCTGTTAGCTGGCTGACCTCATTCATGTGACCTACCTACGGCAGCAGGACCGACAATAAAGACTTCAGAACAATAATAATCATAATAACATATACACAAGAGCCCACCGGGGCAGTGTCAATGTGCATTCACCCTGGGTGCTCACTTGGGCGGCTTCTGCTAAGATCTGACCTAGACCTCCTTTATGCCTACACCTACAGTAACAAACAAATGAGTAGGGAATCCTCGACAGCTCAGGGAGCAGCTTCAGCTAAATTACGAATAAATGACAGTCTCAAATTCTCTTTTCCTTTGCTCTAAAGGCTATGATATAGTACTATCTCTGCGCGCCAGTGAGTCATCTAGCTTGGCGGACTATGAGAAGTCATCACAACCCATTCCAGTTCTTCTGAAAGGGGAAATTCTCAGAATTATCCAAAGCAAAAAAAAAGCAGAGATCATATTTGATCTGAGAAGAAAACAGGATGCTTTCAAATGAGCTGTGTAGGAAGAATGCAGTGAAGTGCTAAGTAGAGGCCATGGTCCAGTGACTCCTCGAGAAGGGTTCCGCCCCAGCCACGAGGAAAAAAGCGAGTGCAGGGGCCTGGTGCTGTGGAAATGCGAGGAAATGTCAATCAGAGGCTGTGCTACAGCTTAACCCCTGCTCAGAGTCTCAGACTCGTACCCACAGACTCCAATTACTCAAAGCTGGAATCCAGACTGTGTGCTAAGGGCTGGTTCACCCATTCTCCTAAGCAAGGCGCGTAGGAGCGGCCAGAAGGGAGCAAGGTCACCGTGTCAGCACCTCTGGTGTCTTGCCCAGAACCGTGTTCGCTCAGGAGCCCAAGGGGCTAGTGCCGCCCTCCTTGCACATGTCTATTGGGCTTGCAAGAGGCATGGGTAATGGAAAACTAGTTACTTCCTGTTACCAGGGCACAAAGGGAGTCAGTCGGCTGTTCCGTGTGGGAAGTGGACCACAGGAAGCTTCTGTGTGACCATCTGGGCCATGTTTCCAGAGGCAAAGCCCGCAGCACTGGATGCGGCCACTGAGCCACGTGGCCCCGCAGGGGGACTGAGAGCCAGGATCTATATCATGCCCTAGTGCTGAGTTTACAGCCAGCTCATTTAGTTTTAATAAAATACAAAATCTTGGCAACAGAGACTACTGCTCAAATTGACCAGACCAAGAACTCCAGGCACTGGGGTGACCTGCTGCCTGATCTGTTCCCAGCTATCTCACTTGGTCCCATCATCCTCTGTCTTTCAAGCTCACTATGACAATCACAACAGAACTGTAGGAAACAGCTTGAAAAATGTAGTTAGAAATTATGTAAACTAAAATTATCATATGGACTCTAGGTGTTAAGAGTATTAATTTCTTTTTTTGCGAAACCGGGGACTGAACTCAGGTGTTTTTGGACACCTTTACAGGAATTTTATTTGTTAAATTAATACTCTTGGGGCCGGGGAGATGCTCAGTAGAATAAGCGCTTCCCTGGCAAGCAGAAGGGCCTGAGTTCAATCCCCGGTTCTGCCAAAAAAGAAAAAAAAAAATTTAAAATTTCAACATGTAACCCTCAGAAGAAGTTGAGCTATTTCACAAGCTGCTGCCATGGCATGTGAAGTGGCTGCCCCACTGGGGGCTGCACACCTTTCTATGAAGACTTGGAAGGAGGGCAAGTCAGCTCTGCCAGGGTTTTTATGTAAATATCAATAATAGTGACTAACAGAATAGACCCAATCAATCAAACTTTATAAAAGATGCTTTATAATATATTCATAGATTTGTTAGCACATATACAGCATAACCAAATTTATGAAAATTCTTTTCTAATGTACACTGCCACTTAAAGTAGCTTGCACATGCATACATTTAGTCAGGACTGCCTTGAACTTGGGTGGAGAGAAGCAGTCCTCTCCTCGCCCTCAAGCAGAAGGCACAGAAATCTGAGGAGAACAGAAGACACCAGGTGGGAGCTCTACTCCTTGACAACTCAGACTGTCTTTGGTTAGTATGTCTGGAGAGCCAAAACATATTATTTTCACTTCATTATCTAGGCAGAAGCTAGAAGTCCTCTCCCCAGAACATGTGTTTTCCCTCCTTGATAGGAACAAGCAGAAACTGGAAACACCACTGCCCCGACCACTCTGCACAGATCTGCACTTCCGCCTCTGCAGCTGAGCATGCAGGTGGACTCCAGCCATTCCACAACAGGATGGTGGTCAGCACTGACTCCCAGGACAGAGTCTGACCCTTGCCTGGCAGGCAGGTGACCTTGAGTGACCAGTGCATGGGGTCCCAGAGAGGAAAGGGAGAGGCCTGGCAGGCCAGCAAGAGGGAAAACAGCAACCCCCTCCTGCACAGCCAGGGCCACGCTCAAAGATAGTCGCCAGGGATTGCTGGGGGGCTGTCAGCCAGGAGTGGAAACAGCAGAAATTATGAAAAACAAAAAGGCGGTGACTCTGGAAGGAAGGGATTCGAGGCTCAGCTGCCACTGGCCCGGGGTACATCTGCAGAGGCGCTTGCATCTGTTTTGTTTTATCTCAGGGGTCAGTACCAGCATTCCTTCCAGGCTTTTCTCAGAATTTCAAGTGGCTAAACAGTATGGAATTAAGCATAACTGCCTTTTTAAAAAATAATGCCAACAAAACTGGTGTCACACAGGATGAAGATAGGCCCCACTAAAAGAAACCTACTATTTTCCATTTTTACGATTGAACAAAAACGACTCTGAGGAGAGAAACTTCAAGAAGCTGCTTTTTTTAATTTACAGAAACTACGTGCAAGTTTCAATGTACAAAGCAGATGCCCCTTACTAATATTAACAAGCCACAGGCTTTGAGTGTACTAAACACATACATTAATAAAGTCTTTCAACTTACAAGAGAAGTCAGCCCTTCATTATCGACAATCCAGTCCTCTTTTTCAGCTAATCGTTTTATTTCTACAAGGAAAACAAATTAGTCTTTATTAGAATTATCTCACTGTACTTTATAGATAAAAATCTATCAAGGTTACAGTTTTTAATTATTTTGTAGAAGTTTATAAAAATTTGATTAACGAAGAGATAAGAATAAAATTTTGGTCCACTTGAGGATGTAAATATGTATCATTCACTGAATTTTCCTAATAAAACATTAAGGCAAGTACAAATTTGTACTGCATTGTTCAGTTTGAGGATTGTAGACTACGCTTAGTGATAACTTGAGACAAGAGTACATACTCAGGGTTCTCTGTAAAGCGAGACGTACAAAATAACCCCTAGAGCACGTTCCGCCTGAAATGTCTGAGTGGCACCTGAGATTCTGTTGAAATGCTCTATGAGGCTCCTGCAAGGTGACTCTCAGCAGTGAAAGGTAGGCTGTGGCCCAGAGCACACCACCACAGTGAGGCTCTCCCCAGGGTCCCACACCCTTCCTGGGTGCATTCACCTGCAGGCCTGCAGCCACTAGGCTGCCCTGCAGAAAAGGCCCGGGGGCAGGCAGTCACAGCACGTGCCATTTCTAAAAATGTTCTTGATTAACTCTGGGAATATTAAATACCCAATAAGCTGATTCACAAAGCTAACCCTTACTCATTATGATTCAGGTAGGAAACCCTTCAAAGTTTAAAAAGGATAAAGAAAATGAGAAGCATTTATAATTTCTACCATCCAGAGAACCACTGCTATTTGTCTTTCTTCTAATTTTATAATGATCTTTCTAAATTAAGATTTTAAAAATATACAAATTTTAAATCAGTGCATAATTTATAAACATCTTATATTCTATACTTCCTACTTATAAAGATTTTCCAGTGTATCCATCTTAATTTCTTGCAATTCAACTTTTTTCTTCTGGAGGATGTCAAAAAATAATGTTGAAAAAAAAATGGTTGAGTAGGTAGAAATGAAAGGAACTAAATACTCCAGCTTCCAGAATAGTAGTTTTCTCTTATTTTTAAAGATCCGGAAGCCGGGGAGATGGTGGGTTCTCCTTGCTCACCTTCTGCTGTGTGCTGCAGGGTAACCACCACGCAGCGGATGCGCAAGTCCAAAATGAGGTCCTGGACGGCCTGCAGCACATCGTTAGGGATCTCAAGGGCAGTCAGAGACTCGTAAGTGAGGCTGGAACGCAAGCCCAAGATGCCAAGTGAGCAGATGGGAGTCGCGGCTTCCACAGCAAGGTGTGAGAGAACAGCACACAGGAGGGCACTATGTCCCATGCTGGGCATGTCCCAAGCCAAAGGCACGATCTCCTCCTCCTCCAAGGACTCACCGCAGAGTCTGGGTGACATGGGCGAGCCATTCGCCTGAGAGCTCGGCCCTGACCTCCCAGCCCCCGTACTGCCGTGCCTCCACCTCCCGCACACTGAGGGGCAGCAGGGCACCGCGCAGCAGCTTCACCAGGGCCTGCATGACTTCCTGAATCATCTTCTGCAAAATGACAATGACAAGCAGAGCCACACTCAGAGCCAGGGAGCTGGAAGGTGAAACTTACCAGATTCAACTCACTGGGGACAGTCACCCTGACCCAGGGCCTTGGCATGCCCGCCCTCACTCACTTTGAAATCACTCTGTCTCTGTCTCACATTCTTCGATCGTTCAAACTGTCCTGACTTCTCAGCAGTCTGAAAAATTAAAAGGCAAAATGAAACATCTTAGCTGCCTTGCAGAAGGAATTCAGAACAATGAGAAACACATCAGCAGCTGCTAGGAGAACATGAAATATAACCTGGGCAAACAGTACTTAGAAATAATTGGAGTTCACGACTACAGATTGACTACACAATCTCTTACTCTAACAAGAAGTCATTAATCTTTCTAAAACCTTTCAATACAATTCCCAGCAGAAAGCCTAAAGACTAAGTTAAAACTACCAGTTCTCTACAGGAACTCCCTCATGGGTATGGCACAATGCACCCCAGTCCTCCTGCTTTTGCCAGGTCCTTAGGACTAGCACAGAAGTAACGCAGTGGGGCTGGTGTGCAGCAGTCCCACGGCACCCGTGTACCCCTTGGGAAATACAAGCATTACAAATGTCATTTTATTATTTAAAATTCTGAGTCACTATACCTCTCTTACAAATCTGTATTTTTGTCTACAATATAGCTCATGTTTTCCTTTATTCTAATTTGTAGATTACACTGCTTAAAAGGAAAACCCATCCAACTGGACTTTAGTTAGCTTTCAGAAACAAGTATTTATTATTATATAAAACACCAAAGGCCAAGCCTAGGAAACTTTCTAAAGAAGCAACAACAGAATTATACTACATACAAGTTTCACACTTCACTGACATAATGAAAAGTTATTCCTTAAAACTTAAAACCCTCGCTGGGCATGGTGACACATGCCTGTAATTTCAGCAGTTGGGAGGCTGACGCAGGATGACTGCCCTGAGTTTGAGGCCAGCCTGGACTATACCACAAGACCCTGTCTCAGGGAAAAAAAAGAAAGAAAATTTTTTAAAAAAGGAAAGTCCTCACATATTATAAAGTTAAAACCATGCCAAGAGACCTTTCTATTTAAGATTAGCCACGAGGCAAAAGGATAATGACACTGACTTCGTGTTAACTTTAAAACATACGCAATTTCCAGTGTGTGCACATACACGTCCATATACACGTCCACAAGCATGCGTATGATGCATAAGCTAGTAGCTGTGGTGGGTGTGCAGTTTTTTTTATTTTGCACTTGTATGTGCTCTCGATGCGGCAGCTGACATCTTATCCCGCATAGCTCTCTGCCTCCCCCAGCCACTGAGAATATTCTTTACTGCAAAACCCTATCTATTCCTTTCAGAGCTGTCTCTGAATTCTGGATCACTCTCTGTTTCTGTGGTGCCAGGAATCAAATTCATATCCTCATGCTTGATGGGCAAGGATGACTTTTGTCTTTTGTCTTTTTGAGTTAGGTCTCACTATGCAGGTCAGGCCGGCACTGAACTCACTTTGTAGCCCAGGCTAACCCGGAACTTGTGATGATCCTCCTGCCTCAGCCTCCCACGTGCTGGGATTACAAGTGTGCACCAGCACACCCAGCTCAACGATGACTTTTGGTTCTGCCTCTAGCAGGGCAAAGAACCAAACTTACCGAGTCTCTTCCTCATAATATCTGTAATTTTAGAGAAAAATTTGTGTGGGATGCATATGTACACTATGCATACCTATGTATACTTGTATATGGCAACATACATGTTACACACAAAACATATATGTATATATGCATTTACAATGTGCATACCATGTATGAGAACACATATATCTATATACTGTCAGTGTATGAGCAAATCAGTAGCTGACACACAGACACTTGGGGGTATTCAATAAATGCTGGCGAATGGATAATCACCCAGGCTTCAGGTTGTTCAGGACCTTCCTGAACATACTTCACAAAACATGACTCCCCTGAATCCAGGGCTGTTTTAAAAATCCCTGAAGTCCTGGGTTCCTCACATCACATCATATCACAGACTGGCCTTAAAGCAGCCAGGTACAGCCTATAAAAAGCCCACCAGACTCAGCTCCCTTGCGGTTTAACTTGTCACCAAAGGAGAGTGAAGATTCTTGTGTCTATAAGAAGGTTGGGAGTTGTCGGGTGTAGAACGGGCGCTGCTGAGCTGCTCAGCGTCTACTGGACCACCAGGGCATACCTGGGTCATGGGAAATGCCAGTGCCTCAGGGAATCTGGCATGGCTGCTTGAGCGTCGGTGTGACAAGGCCACAGGCCACACAGCCCTCTGGCTGAGCATTGCCTGGGTGTTCAGGAAGAGCAGGCCTCACTGGACCAAAGGTTGATGCTCCTTTCCATTGAGAGGAGACTTCCTGTCTGAACTCCTCCTGTGTGGACACTGGGTGTGGCTCAGCTCCACCTGCCTTTGCACCTGCAGCGGACGTCTACTCTCCTTGCACCCTGAGCTTGCTGGCATCGCATTGGAACTCAGAGCAGCGGCCTACGCATCTCAGCCTGCAGATGCGCTGGGGTCTGGGCTGGTTCTGTAGCTGTGGGATAGCTTCTGCACATGCTGGTCCCATGCGTGGTTTCTTCTGCTCCTCTAGAGAAAACTACCCCCGACATGCCTACTCTGGAGAACTGTGGGATGTGCTGTGGAGGAGGGACATGCTGGTGGGTGACTGTCCTTGTCTAGACTGTCACAGGGTGTCTTCTCTACTATATCCTCCAAAGGACAGTATCTGACACTGTGTTGTGGTTTGTGTGCATACGCAAGCATGCACACACTCTAAGATGTCCACTCATGTGTCTGTGAAAACTAAGACTATGATTTGACAGAACAAAAGAGGTTGCTTGTGAATATATGATGACACCTAGTGGACAATAACTTTATAAAATTGAGACACCTGTTTCCAAAACAGGCAAAGTAGAACAGGAGACAAGGGAGGGGATGGTATGCTCCTAGACCTGTTAATGAAATATTATTTACCAGTTTTTTGGATAAGGAGTTAAACAGCACCAACCAAAAAATGGTACCTATAGTTTGCCCAACTGTTTCCCAACTGATGGTACATTCTGATTTACGAGTCATGCAACTTTTTAAAAAATGTTGATTTCTAAAGTTTAACAATGATTTGGATGTTTAAGATTTTTATTCAAGAATATGCTAATATTTATGAGTATAAATTATATTTATACTACAATTTATTATTATAGATATTATACTAATATCTATAGGTGAGATCTTTATTATTAACTATTTCGTTAACTAAAAACCTTAACTCTTTCCTGCACACACAGACCAAAACTCCTTTGTGGTAAAACCAACGGCTAGATTTCACTGTTTTGATTCACAGGTTACTTTACATGGTCCTTGCTGGTTTAAAGAACTGACTACTTTTCAAACTGTTGGAAATTTCATTTAATTCTTTAACGGACAGACGGTTAATAATACAAGATGATTCTTTCAGGAGAAATTTTATGTAAATTGTGTTTACTGAAAGCACGTTTTTATAAAATTAAGTAACAATTATCAAAAAGCCCAGGGCTCTTTCCAACATTAATTATGTTTCTGGGTTTTATTCATAGGCTTGCGAAGACAAGCCTATAAACTTATTCATTCATTCACTTGGTTCAGGGTCTCACTATGCAGCTCAGACTCATAGTGATCCTCCTGTCGGCCTCCCTAGAGCAGGGATTACAGGCCTGTGCCACCACACACAGTTTCAGGGCCAGCTTGGCATATGGTACAGGGGATGAACCTGAGTCCTTGCGCTTGCCAGACAGGTGCTCAGACCACTGAGCTATCTCCCAGCCCAAGAGAAGTAAACTTCCAACTCTTGCACTCTGCTACTTCCTTCCCTCTGGTGTCACGGGCTTCTAAGAGAGGATGAGTAATCTTGAAGCACGTGTAAATCTGCAGCGTGAATTATACTTAATAATTAAGGAGAAGATTACAAACATAAGTTGGTAGAAATAGCACAGGTATCTCCACCTCAGTGGAATAATTAAAGAGCACTGTTGTCCATGAGACCTAAAGTAGGCTGTTTTATTTTTCATCTACTATCAAATATTTCACTTTAAAAATTTTAACATAACTAGGTATAACCTAGAAGGAAAGTACATTCCTTTTCATTATGACATCACAGATCAAAACCCTTAGGAATCCGTGACTGAAAAGACTCCAAGCAGCCCATGCTCAGCAGGGTGGTCCATCTACAGGCCGTGACTCAAACCAGAAGCAGCAGCACTGAGCTGAAAAGAGTGACACTTTCCCCAGGGCCAAGCTGACCTCACTCAGCTCTACTCCCGTACACCAGTGGAATATTTTTCTACTCAACTTTGTTCCTTAAACACCTGTGACAGGAAAAAAGCTTTCAAATACTGGATTTTGTCTTTCCCTAGTTCTGAGCCCTCATGCATGCTACTCTTCTAGGGAGCCCCAGCCCCAGCCCCAGCCCCAGCCCCAGATAAATGCCACTCTAAACAACAAGAGGAAGCCCCTCCTCTGCCAGACGTTGGCAGAGCTTCGCTCCTGCTAATCCCCACACCCCCGGTCTGTACTGCATGGCGTGAATCGTAGCTTCTCTGACTGCGCGGATTTATGTGCATGGGTAAGGACCCCCAAGGACCCTGGGGCTCCCAGACACCTCACTACTTGCCCTGAGTAGGAAGGGTCTGACACAGCAAAGACAGTATCTTCACACACCATAACACAGCTCCCCAGCGTGTATCCACTATCTGTGTAGGAAAGCCTAAAGAAGAAGGAAATCAGCTTTGCCTTCAGGAAGACCTGTCCCTCCCCCAGGGCCAAGCAGACAAGACGTGCAGCGTTCTCCTTCTCCATCCTTCAGATGGACCAGGGGTAGGCTCAAGAGACTTTGGCACACTACACACAGGAGATTACAGAGAGGGGTGAGCCTATCTCCATGTGGGATACACCCAAGTCAACCCATAATCTCTGCACCATCAGTTCCTGACTGACCTCCCTAACCTACTGAGGAGCTACATCCAGACGCAGTCATTAGGAGCAGGAAACACTGGGGTAAGGCACACAGGTCACCATTCCTCAACACTACAGAACCCTGCGTGCATCGGCCTGGTGAGTGGGCAGCTCCAGCGCAGCATCTACTGCATGCAGATGCTCTGACACCACTGCGAAGGACAGCAAGCTGGGGACAAGGACATCACAGCAAGGCCACTAAGGACAGTGTGAGTCGTGGAATGTGAAGGCTTATGGGCACTGTGGAGGCTGGGATGGTGGGCTAATACTCCATTTTCCATTTCCTTCCCATGAAGGAATTCCACTTTCCATGGATGACTTCAGACTTGTGCAAAAGCTGTCAGTGTTCTTTCCTTATCGCTTATTCACAGTGTACCACTGGAAAATTTCATTTGCAATTTGGCCTGACTAGGACTGTATTTAATTCTGTAACCTTGAAAATCCTTCATTTGTGTGTTCCCTCCCTCCCTCCCTTCCTCCAGCTCTTGGTCTGATTCCTTTTAGGCACTTCTTGAGCAAGATACCCTCATATTCTCTTTTCACAGCTGAGAACAGAGTCCCAGAACAACAAAGGAAGCTGCTCAAGGTCACAAGGCTGCCAGGAATTAGGGTTTTATCAACCTTTCAACTCATCTTAAAATAAATGACAGTGGTTAGAGGTGTTGGGCCTTTAAGGTTTTAAAAGTCACCTCAAATTCTGTAATTTTTAAGACCAAAGATGCAGTGACATGGCTCCACCAGGGCAAGGCTGTACACATACCTCGCTGAACAAGCTTCCGTTGGCATAGGAAATCCAGAGTTTCCAAAAATTAGGCAGCTGGCTTAAAACAAGCTTGGTCAATTTTTCAGCAAATGCCACCCTGTGGGGAGTTTTGTACCTCCAAGCTAAGGAAACAAAGGACAAGACATGACGAATGCATTTTGGAATCAAGAATAACCACCTGTCTGAACACAGCCCTGTGGTCTCCACAGGTGTGCACGGACACTCTTCCCACGCTGCTCTCCCCGCTCACACCCCACCATGCACACATACTCTTCTGTTCCCCGCCTGTGCAAGCACACGCTTCCCAGACATTACAGAGGTGCCTCTGCTCACAAATGCAAGTCTCTCCACACTTCTGATCACTACGCTTGAGGACTACCAAAACAAACTTCCCCATAACACTGCACCTGACCTTTAAGTCTGAACTGGCACCATCCAACTTGTTCTGCAACTGTGATCATGGAAAGAATCAAGCTCACGACCGAAGCACACTCACACCCCTGTGCGCAAGCACCTCCCACTGCGTCTGCTACACTGTGCGTACACACTCCGCCCAGGCATGTACTCTCTTGTCTTTCCAGATGGGTACAGTTCACGTATACGCGACACACTCTATACACATATGATGTAAAAATAGGTCTCACAAAGTTTGCCTTCACAAAGACTATTCCATAACCCTGGCCCCAAGTTAGTGAAGGAATGCTGCCTTTTCACTGACTTTGAAGAAAAATTTTCCATTTTAAAAACCATAAAATAATCAGAAAGTAAAATAAGCTTTTTTATCAAATCCATCAAAAAGCATTTTAAGAGCTGGGGATGTGGCTCAGTGGTAGGACGTTTGCCTAGCAAGCAGAAAGCCCTGGGTTCAAACCTCAGCACTAAAACCAAAATATAAACCTTGCCTGAAAAATAAATAAATAAATCTCATGGAAAAAGCATTTTAACTGAAATAGTCATATGACAGAAAATGATTTAAATGATTATAAATGAAAACATCACAAACTGATTCCCAAACACTCCTTCAGCTGCAAGCTCTGATGGTCCATTGGCGCTCTGGTTATCTGCCGGTTTCCCCACGGGGAGGACTGAGCGCTGCAGCCGTGTGCCACGCTGGTGCTCAGGCACCGCAGCTTTCTGCGAGCAGCTGGCTTCCTGTGGGACATGTACTTGATTTGTTTGTTTTTATTCCCTGCTAATCCTTTTTAATGCTCATACATGAACAACAGCCTTCCCCCACTGCTTCTGAGTGTGCTGCATCCAAATTTTGATCATTATAAAATTTGGGTTTTTGTTTCTTACTAAGTAAAATCTGTCCTAGTGAAGACCACATGATATGTCACTGACAGAATAGCATTCAGAGTAATTTCTTAAGAAAAAAGGAACTAAGGAGATATGGTAGAAATGTGTCTCTACCCCCAACGAAAGTCAAAGTATGTAGCCCCATGAGCTCTGCTTTGCTCACAACGTTGAGAATGAGCCTACTCAACCTTATTTACACCTATGGTTTATGGTAAGTAATCCTTCAGAACATTCTAATTTCGAGTGATGCATTTACATTTAGGAAATGTAAACTAGTTTATTTGCCTTCCTCTTCCAGCACTGCTGGAGTAACATGAAGTGGACCTAGCCATCAGCCATGAAGGACTAGAAACCTGGTGGGGGAGACATGGCAAGAGCACCCGAAGCCACAACAATTCTTAGTGCTGGCAACAGGCAGCACCATCTGTGACAGGAGGAAAAGATGTCTGGCAGGCTGGGAACACCCTGGGAGGAAAAGGAGGAGGAAGCAAAACCGAGCTCGAGGTCCTTTCTGAGCTGGGAAGATGGAGAAGTTGGGAGAGGCTGCATGCCTGACGTGCGAGGAGGAAGGAGTTCAGGAAAGGAAGATGCTACACTGACAGACGGCTCCACACCCTGCCCGGGGCCTCTGAAGTCTCTGTGAAGGACAGCACCACACATACATGCAGCAACACTTCCCATGCCAGGCCTGGACCAACCAGAGAACTGTAAGTTCGGTAATTCCCACGGGTCACGTGGCACAGGCAGACTTTTAGGTTCTCCAAGTGCAAGGAGCACATCCCTGCCAAGGAACTTGGCCTCTCAGCAGGGACCCAAGGTGCAGGCCTTGGTACCTAGACTGTAGGGTCCCAGAACGAAGGCTTTTCTAACCCTGCTCTAGCAAAGCAGAGCATCAAGCCCAGAGAAGACTGAGCTCATATTTATAAACCACCCGCCTGCTAAAACGAAGGCCAGCACTGTTTAAAGGGGAGAAGCAGAAACCAGATGCTCAACACTAAACACCTGTAGTGCGTGAGAAACTATAATGACCAGATGCACCCAAAGCAAGGACACGTCACCCGAGGCAGAGACCTGCTATGACCCCACCTGGAAGCCAGACCACAGCTACAGAACAGAAACAGTGCCAGAGATGGGACAGCACACACTGACAGCTGCCACAACTGTGCTCCCACACTTAAAGGGAAGCACAAAGAACAAGAAGGGAAAGCAAGGATGCAGCTGTGGTCCAGCTCAGCGGTGCCTTGCACTCTTAGTTCAGTTCGCTGCACCAAAGCAAACAGTACCGGGTGGGTTCAGGTTAGAGTACGATAGGGATCAGAAAAGCTGAAGGCGTAGCATTTGACCACACTTTGAAGCGCTGAATGACAAAAGTAGTTGTGGAAAAGGGAGAAAAGCCTTAGTAATACACTACTACGCTCTGTGTCTGGATGTCCCCAAGCCTTACACAGTTGTGGGGGACAGACTTCTTGGAGGTGGATGAACTGAGTTTGCAACTGAGTCGTAGTCTAATGCTGGGACTGGGATTAGGGTATGTAGCCTGTGTCCAATATAAGGGGCAAAAAGAGGCTTGCTCTCCTCTCGTTGCTTTTGCTGTCTTCTGCCACCATGAACTGCTGCCCCTCCACTGTGTCACCTTGCCTCCGGGCCCGCCAACTATGGACCAAAACGAGGAGTAAATAAACCTTTCCTCCTTCAACTTTAGGTGTCTAGTATTTTGTCTCAGCAACGAGAAAAGTACAGAATTACTTAATGGTCTAACACACATGGAATTGCAGCCCTAGAGAAGTGGCAGAGAAGAAAAATTTTTGAGAAAATAAAGGATGAAATATTCTCAAATTTAATAAATACTTTTAAAATTTGATAAAGAGACCCAAGATACCTGCCAACTCAGGCAGGATAAACAAGAACTGTTCAAAATCACGTGATTTGTTAGCAGCAGCCTTAACGGCAGTTTCTGTTGGATCTTGGCATTTTATTACCACTTCTGATGGTGAATGGACACCTAATACACTGTCCCACTATTTATGGAAAGGAAATGTATTTGAGAATACAGAGGGAAGCTGCAAGCAAGAGGCTCTCCACCCTGGATGCAGTACCAAGCACAAAGAGGTACTGGCTTCTCCTCTGTGGCTGGCAGTCACAGGGATGCTAGTAGGCTTGTGGGGAAGGGGAGTGTGACAGCAGCAGGCCGTCACTGCCACCACTACCAGCAGTGACAGAAGGACACACTGCTCTTAAAAGAACTGCATCATTGGTTTTACGATGCTCTCAACATGTTCGTGTTCATTAATAAAACGGGAAAAAGTCCCTTCAATACTTACACAAGGAATATACTCTAAAGTTAAAGTCTAAGGTCACTATTTCACCGCTCTACCTGATGTCGTGTAAGTGCTCCTGAGACCATAACCAGCCAGGGACTGCCGGCATCTCACTTGCACACAGATGACAAGCAGCGTGGTAAGGAGATGGTAGGTAACATGCATTTTACAAAGTTAAGAAATGCAACACAGGCACAACCTGAGACACTGCATCTTAGGAGAAAGGATTAGCAGTTATTCTTGTGGTTAATAGCAACTGAGTTTCCTTTTAAAACAGATGTTTAAAGCTTGTCAAATAGTATTTCTTTTTTCTTTTTTTCATTTATGTATTTGGTATAGGGTCTCACTATGCAGCTTGGACTCAGTGATCCTTCTGTTTTCAGCCTCCCCAGCGCTGGGATTACAGGTGTGTACCACCACACCCAGACTCGGCTGCAGGGCCAGTGCGGCATGTGGGACTGCACTTGCCGAAGCAGGCACTTCGTCTGCTGAGCTATCTCACTGGCCTCAAACGCTATTTCTTTAATGTAAAATATAATGTGGACTTTCAACAAGTTGAATTACTGGGTAGCAGTGAGCCTGCGAGAGGACAGTGGCATAGGTACGGTTTCTCAAGAAGAGCAGAGGCCCGAAAGCGCCGCCACCACCAGCACAAGCCTCAGCACTGAGCTGCACGGGTGTGGTACTCACTGTCGTCGCGGCCACATTGGAAGCTGCTGCCCCTCTTCAGCGATGCTGTCTGCCCGAGGTGGCTTAGCACAGGGGGGCGGGGGTCACTGTCCAGGTCCAGCAGGGGGCTGTGTAGGCTGGGGTTACCTGGAAGAGAGGTGGCATTCCCTGACACTGCTGTTTTTCTTTTCTTTGTGCTGCTTCTTGTTTAATTATTGTTCTGCTCTTTTAAATAAAGCCTTTAATGAGTGAAACTGAATCACACCTGGCTTCCTGTTTCTTTTCCTGGCGTGGACTCTTAAGTTTACACAGCACCAATCTCTGTCACCTCTTATCTAAGGCCACCATTCCATTTATTTTTTTTTTCCTTTTTTTTGGCGGAACCGTGGATTGAACTCAGACCCCTGCACTTGCCAGGGAAGCGCTTATTCCACTGAGCCATCTCCCTGGCCCGTTACCATTCCATTTAAATTCCCAAATCATACAACTCTTGTTGCATAGGTCCTGCTTTACCTTGGTCTTAACCATCCAGCAGAAAAGTATAAAAACAAAGTATAAGAAGTAAAGCCATGCTGTGATGTTGAGCTGTAGAGGACTCAGGTCAACAGTTTCTGACATTGCCAGTCAAGCAGAAGACCCAATACTATTATGGGCTACTGAACTCTTTTAGAATATTTTGCTGAGTTAACACATCTATAATATTCAAAAAAGGGAATTAAACAAGAAAAGGGGATACAGATGAATGTCCATTTTGTATCTGTGTATTCAAAGTGGTTAGGATAGATATATAGTTACATTCTCTTAATGAATAGAGAGATTTGTTCTAATAGTGTTTGTAAATAGGATATCATGTCCTCATCTTGTACAGCAATTAACCACTAGGAAGAATGTATGCAATGTGTTAATTATTGAAACTGTCCTACCAATTTGGTTTGAAACTCTCTCATTGCTATTTATTTCTTAATAAAATTATGGAAAAAAAAATTTAAAAAAAGATAGCTCAGCAGACTAAGTGCCTTGCTCAGGCAAACACAGGGACCAGGGTTGGAACTCCAGTACCATATGCCATACCTGACCCATCCCTGGGAGGACTAAGTCAGCCACTGGGACCTGGCGTGGTCGCCCACGCCTACAATCCCAGCACTGGGGAGGAGCCTGAAAACAGGAGGATCACTGTAAGTCTGAGTGGCACAGTGAGACCCGTTACCAAAGACATTTTTTTAAAAAAAGGGTGAAATACAGTGTAAACAAAGTTTTATTTCAAATAAAATGACTAGGACAGCTAAAGAAAAAAATAAATAAATGAAAAGAAAAGAAAAGAAATTCCGAAATCACATTCTCTTTTTGGGAAAGGCTGGTGAAATGGCTCAATAGAATGGGCCTGAGTTCAATCCCCAGTTCTGGAAAAAAAACAAACAAACCAACCAAACAAAAAAAAAAAAAAAAACCTCTTTGGGCAGTGGGGGTCCCCTCTCCATGCCTATCCTGGGGGCCAGCTGCCAGCAGGTGAGGGTCCTTTCCACCTCCCTGGAGTACTCTTCTAATCCAGAAACCTCCTGGGTTAATTACACACTAAAATAATATTTTTCTTTCTTTCCTTTTTGCTTTCTCTTTTTCCCCCGTTTTTATTAATGCAGTACCAGGACTGGGACTTCAGGGCTTCACACTACCCTAATCCCAAGCCCTTTATATTTCCCGTCTGGAGCCAGGTCCCACCGAGGTGCTAAGTCGCCCGCTGGGCCTGAGCTGGAGTGCTTTCCCTCTGGCTCGCAGGCTGGCAGCACAGGCATGCGCCCCACACTGGCTGGAACCCCCACCTTCTCATTCCCCATCAGAAGCCTTGCAGAAGTTCCAGCGTTTTCCAATCCAAATTATCCTGAGAATCAGGGAACAGTTTTGTTAGTATGGATCTCAAAAGCGCGTCGGCGGATCCTCAGAAAGCGTTCTTCCCCACAGCTGGTACTTCAACAACTGTAAATGGTTTAATATCACATCACCTAGACTTAAGTCCTAAAACGTAAAGCTGTAACTTTTCTTCCCTCTAACAACAGCACTGGATGAAGTGCTTTTGTTCTACTAGAGACCACGCCATCTACTACCTGTGACATCAGCAAAAGCACGTCAAGTGTACGCTGACCTCGGCACCGTGGCCTTGCCTTTCGGCAAGGGCCACGCAGCAACGGGGCGCAGGGATGGTGCCCCCCACGCCAGGATGAGTCGGCCGCCGGGCGCGTCTGTAAGCCACCTATGCCCCTCACAAGGCCTACACGCAGCGTCGGGTGCTGACCTGGACAACACAGGCACTGCTCCCCAGAACATCCTGCTCCTTTTCTGTTCAAAACAAAGTCCTATCATGTTCTGCTTTACCAGGAATCAGGCAGGAGAATTATACTTTGAAAATTGAGATGAACACTTTAAGGATAACCTGTTGCAGGGAAAAATAAAAGCAAGCTTTGAGGATTCTGATCAGCCTTTTAAACTCCAACTACACGACTGGGTATTTTCCTTCCACAAAATTATTAAAAATAGGTAATGGCATTACTATAAAACAAGTGAAAAATACATGATTTCTGTAAATTAGCAAAGTCTTTAAAACATTTCACAAGAAATCAGCCTAATTGCCCGTGATTATTTTACTTTACCACACAACAGCAGCATGCATGATGTGTTTAAGAGAAAAGCACACAATTCACACCGCCACACTGCGCACAGCTGTGAATGGAAGCTGAGCAGGCCCCAGGGGCACTTCTGCTGGGCCTGCTCTCCCCTGCGCACGGCACCCTGGTGCTCTTGCTGCATTCTCCCTGGAGCCCCACGAGGCCCTGTGCGGACACCAGCCAAGGACCGTGCTCAGCTGCGCCCTGCACCGAGATCACAGGCTTGCTGGCAGTGGAGCCTCTGGAGACAACAGACCACAGTGGCTCTAAGGCTGCACCTATCCTTTTCAAATGACTACTGGGTTACAGGAATTCTAACAGATCATTTGTTTTCTTAGCAGCAAATTTTCTTCAGAAACAAGTTCTTCCTGCAAGGTTTTTCCCCTACACGGAATTATTTACTTATTTATTTTTTCTTGCCATGCTGAAAATTAAACCCAGGGTGTCCCACATGCCAGACAAGCATGTTACTGTGGAGCTACATCCCCAATAGATGGAAAATTTTTAAAAACTTTTGTCAAATAGGAAATTATTTTTAGCAATGATGAGAAAGTTGTAACTTTATGCTGTTATCCAGGCCAATCCTAACAAACTGTTCACCAGTCTGGAAATGAGGGCAAAGAGGAATTCTCTGCAGGGGGCTGGGGATACGCAGCCAGCGTCCAGAGTACTTTGGAGTCACAGGGCAGCACTGCAAACTGGCCCACAACAATGAGTAAACTACACAACCTGCAAAATTGTTTTTGGTTGGGAAATTCTGATTCTCTGATCCAAATTTGACTCTGAAATTTCCATCACCACAGAGGGAGCAGAGGGCAATGTGGGTACTCCGGTTGCTGCTCCTTCACCTCAGGACACCGAAGGGCAGGCTGACTCGCAAAGGGGCAGATGAGAATGGATGCTTAAGTGGGAACCTAGTCGCAGCACGTGAAAGACGACAGAAAGATAAAGCCTTACTTTGAATTTTAGGTATCTGTTAGGGACGTCACACCTTGGCTATTTTAAAGACACTACACACCAATAAATATGCTCAAATAATTAAATGCTTATAAGCACTGGCAGTAAACCTAGGGTTTGAGTGTTACTTGTTTTTGTTTTAAGACAAAAGATGTTAATGTATCAGTTGTTATTTTCTAAACTAATACCTCAATATTCAGGTTTAAGTTGAGTATTGGTGTTTTGCAATAAATGAGTGGGTTTGGTGTTGCAGTGTGGGCATTTATCTCTAAAAGGTTCCCTATCACTGGGTTGTAAGACCAAAATTACTTCACTGTAATCTGTCACAGATACCCTGAGGAACAACTGCAAAGTAAGTATTACTCTGGAGACAAATCCTCAAATACAAACATAACCTACAGCATTAAAAGTCATCACTACCACATTTCTAGTTCTAAATTCTAGACAGCATTTATAGAAATAAGGGTACCAACAAAATTCTAGAAGTAAAAATGCTTAGGCTCTCGATACATCTGAACTTCTACAAGTGTTCAAATTATAATTATACCAATTTAAAGATTTATCTCTTCTCTACAAATGGATGAAAGAAAAGTCTCCTAAATGCACACACACTTAACATGCATGTACTCTTTAATTTCTGACAGTTGAACCAATATCTTATTTCTGCTGTTAAATAAAGTTTCTATAACATGCCAGCAACATTCTTGAAAGGAAGTCTCCTTCTAATTGATTTTGCATATACATTTTGTTTCCTTGTTAAAAAAACTTTATTCATAAACACAAAATTCATGAATTGTTTTTCTTTTCAGAAGACAAAAGACTAGAATTATTTTGTGCATAGCTCATTT